TTTTTTTTTTTTTTTTTTTTTTTTAATGAAACAACTTGTGGTTTAAAATCTTAGGCCAGTTTCTTGCGATGTTTTAGTTGGTTTAATAAAAGGTATAATCTCTGAAACAAGAGGTCTACAGTGTTGCATGGAGAAATGAAGGCACTTTAGCCTTGTATTGAAAAGTAAGTTTGGTCATTAGCAGGATAACGTTCTGTACAACAATGTCGGCCTTGTGGGCTTTGGGGTACTGAATTCTTTCTCTTCTCCAGGCAAAACTTCTTGTTCTGAACAAGTCTGTGGGATTGTCACCTGTAAGTATTCTTGTAACTCATGCTGTTGTACAGAAATGTTTGTTCTGCTTCTACCTGGTGTTGACATCAACACTGGCTTTTGCAGTGTGTCCTGGTGATTTGTTGCTGAATACTGGTCGGTCATTCATATGGACAGGGAAAGAGGCATTTTTAACTTCTTCAATAGCTTTGTCGAGGGAGGGATGGGGTGATCAGATCCAAGAGCACTTTTTTGTTTAGAGCGGGAATTGTAGAAGGAATAAACGTCAGTGTGAGGTGGCAGGAAGGGCCTGAGTGCTGCCTCCCAGCACCATACCTCTGTCCTCTCTTTCCATGTAACTTGCTCAAGACTTACCATGCTGCTTCTGCAAGTTATGTCCTGATGCAAAACCCATTGAATCAGCAGAAATTAGATGGATGTCTCTTGATTTCAGTGGGCTCTGGACTAGGCCAGTTATTCTAAGTGTAGCAAAAATTGAGTGGCATAATATCATTGGGGTATCTTACTGTTATTCCATGCGTTATACCCATGACCTCTTAATTTATCATCTGGAGCATAACTGTATAAAGTAGGATAACTCCCTGGAAGTGGAATCAAGGCACTGATGCTTCATTGAGTCAAAAGGTTGCATTATTATTGCAGATTCTCCACACAGTTATTTTTTGCTCTGAAATGTTGACTTTTATTTGTACATAAAGACACTAAACAAGAGCCAGACAACACAAAAGTATTGTTGTTATGCCCATCGATAGTGTAATCATTCTCACAAGCCAGTCAGAATCAGTAACTAGCACTTTTCCTGTGGTTTGGGCTGTTTGAGGAAGATTACAACTACAATCCAGTTTTTAAACACGTCATATCATGTTACTGAAACTATATCCATGTGTCAGTTAAAATAACCAAGCTCCCTAACCAAGAACACTATAAACAGCTGCTGAAGTCTATAACATGTAGGCAATGTTGTGTTTCAGACCAACTAAGTTCTTGGAACATTCGGAGTAAGCCGAGGTCCATAGAGCAGGGCTGTAAAAGGTGTTACACTGGCATGTTTATCCTGTTTCTTGGGCCAGGGCTCATTGAATGTGCTGAGCCAGGCACAGGAAATGGGGACTTGTATATAACGTTCAGTTCAGCGAGGCACACCACTGTAGATCCTGCTCACTTGGCTCTACCGACTTCTGGAGGAGACCTTAGTTCTTCCATTCTGGGGTTACGTGGCAAATCTCTGTCTTTATTATCCTTCTGCTCTCAAAATCCATTTGGATTTGAGACCTGTACAAAGCGACTGTAGCAGAACCAGCTCCCTGGGGCTAACTCTGCTTCAGAGGGTGCATGCAGCAGCACAGTAACTGCTCTGTCAGACAGACCCCTCCAGCTACTGATGGGTAGCCCAGGTTTTTATTGCGTCTCTTCAGACACAGTCTGTCACTGCTAAGTTTTTGCAGTGCTTCTCTTCATCTGAATTTAGTCTGTCTCAAGTGCTCTCGGCTTCCTCAACCCCCCTCTGGTCTTTAATTCTGTAGTTAAAATGCACAGAAGCATCTTCCATTTTTTCAGGAACAGGCTAATGAAGATGCAGTTTTTGTGGCTGGAGAAGATGCAGAAGGGTGGCTTTGGCTATGACAAGTGCGAAGCAACTGGAAACAGTCCAGATCCTCAGCTTGAGTTTTTTTGTTTTTTTTTTCCCCCTTCCTTCCTGGCATTTTGAGCCCACCTCCAGGAAAGCCCATACAAGTGCTCTTTGTTGTGCTCAGGAGAGGCCCTAAAAAGGCTGGTAAATAGACACTGAGCAAGGATTAGTTCAGCGTTCTAGAAAAACTCTCGTAATCCTCCCTTCTCTTCAGCTAAGCCCTGTCTCTGTACTGTGGCCTGTCTA